GATAAAGATTTTTGTAAGATGATGGTGCTTCTTTTAAGGGTGGTAGCTCAACTTTTCCGTAGCCACAACATAAGGAATAAGACGTATTTCCTTTTTTTTTGCCCTCTAAGCGATTCATCTACCCATAATTTTGCATGACAAATCTGACATATAACAATCTTGTCTCCATGATCTAAGTAATCTATTGAATGAAAAAAATATAAAAAAATAAAAAATAGATTATTAAATAAATTTAAATAACATTATAACTATTAGAATTATGATCACCTTTTGATATACCGTGAAATTTATCTTCGACAATATGATCATCATTACGTTCTTCATCTAATGTCAAGTCAAACACATGTATAGATGATATATCTGGAGTCTTCTTTTTCAATTGATGCTTTCCTCTTGGTAACTTAATTGATGAAGAATTCTGGACAATTGTGGAACGACTACCAGATGTCGTGGGATTAACAAACATTGAATTATGTTTGTTGATAGATATTGGTGTTTGAAGGTTATTATTGAATATGTAATTGCCTGATAAAATAAAAATACAAATTACAACGTTAGCAATTGTTATGATTTATATAAATGTAAAGCATATATTTTTAAATTTATGTATTTACAAATGTGTACCGTTTGAAATGTTAGAAAATGGAGTTCTAACATTTATATTGGGTGAAGAAGAATTATGAATTGTTGTGGAACGATTGGTGGATGTCGAGCCAATGCCAAACACGGAGTTATGTTTATTAATATATAGTGGTGTTTGAACTTCATTGTTGAAAATATAGTTGCCTGATAATATTAAAATACAAATTAAAACGTTAGAAATTGATATTAGTTATATAAATGCGAAACATATATTTTTGAATTTGTGTATATAGAAATCCGTACCAATTGAAGTATGTTGATGTACATATGATTTGGCTGAGTTTATATTTTCCTTATCTAAGCTAACGTGTGTATAGTTATCTGTAGATATTAATCTATCACGATGATTGTAGACATCTGTTATATAATTAGAAAAAATGGTTAGTAATAATAAAAAAAATATTAATTATTATAAACAGTAAATAAATTATAAAATAAACGAATATAAATACCGTTATTTAACATGTAAGAAGCGTGTGTAATATACGGATTTTGATGGCTTGATGTGTTTGGTAGTATTTTGGATTTTCTATTATCCAAATATAACTTTCTAATTTTTCTCCTCTATTTAGCGTTTGTAGATTCTATAGTATTATTTGAACCTGTAAAATAGTATAAAACAACTTAAAGACATTTTTTTATATTAAGTTTAAATATAAATAAAAACATATTATAATTATAAATGCAAAATAAAGCAAGAAGATTACCGTATTGGCTAAAATTAATAGCATGTCCGACAGGTGTATGGTGAGATGATGATGTAGTAAAACATTTTTTGGATTTTCCATTATCTAAATATAATTTTCTTTTTTTTTCTTCTCTCTCTAACGTCCGTTGCATTCATGTTCTTGTTTGATATAGAATAAAAATAAAAAAGTACAGTGAAAAACAAAATTAATAATTTGATAGATGATGTTACAAGGATTGGTAGGTTATATAATTTGCATAAACTTCATTTGACGAATTGAATACTAACCAAATAGAAAATAAATGATATTTCTAAATCATAAAATTATATAATAAAATTTACTTATTTTTTGTTGAGCATAATACATAAAATGACAATTTAAATAGTTTATGCCAATTTAAATTATAATTTAATAAATACCACATATCAATATAAATTTTTAGTTGATTATTAAAATTATAGTTGTTTTAATAATAAATTGGGATACATAGCAATACAAATTATTTAAAATATTATTGATATAAAAAATTATAAAAAAAATATTATTTGAAGGTTAACATAAGTAATAACCCCCATTTCTCCCACGTACAAGAAAATCAATTAGTAATAACCCCCCTTTGTCACTTTTGTTGTAATAGAAAAGAAGACCTAGAAAAATCGGCACTCGAAATTGATATCTTCGCAATCAAGATTAACGTCTCCAACACGTTCATTTCAGAAAGATATCAAAGTTTGTCCATTGCTATCGATGAAGGCAGATAGGAATATATAATCATTGAATCAAATTGAACGGGGGTAGTTATACCGATGTTACAATTGAAGGTACGAAGTGAATAGGGTTTGAAGATGTGAAAACTGAAGGTAAGATATAAAATTTTCTTAATGATATTTGTTTTAACAGAACATAGATTCGTTGGAAGATATTATACCTGATTATGATTTGCAGAAAATTGATTTTTCTGAAGAAGTTATCGAAAAATGAAATAGTATAAGGAGTAATTCGAAATACTTCAAGGGTGGAAACACAATCAGGTAACTTTCAATTTTGCTGAAATTATGGTTTTCATATTTTGTACGTAATAGTTTGAAATTTTGAATTTTGAATTTGCTATATATTAGGGTTAAATTTGTGCATGTGATTAATATTAGCAAATCATTTATTAATTGAATTTTATATACCTTCCGAGATTAGATTGGGAGTTTTATAATGATTAGCTAGATATCAGGGTTAAATATGTGTAAAATGAAGCGATCAATTTCATATTAGTTCCTAGTGAGTAGTTTGAAATTACAGATCTAAAGCAATTATATAAAAAAAAAAACTTTGTTTATCACTCTAAAAAATTGACTGATTTTAAACAACCGGTTAAATCTTCAACCGAGGGTATTTTAAAGACAATAAGATATAAAGGGTAAAATTGTCCAATCTCAGAGATAAAGGGTAAATAATGTTGTAAAGCTTAATCTTATATAACATTCAACTTATTTAACTTTTATAATAAAAAAATCATTTATTAATTGAATTTTATATACCTTCCGAGATTAGATTGGGAGTTTTATAATGATTAGCTAGATATCAGGGTTAAATATGTGCAAAATGAAGCGATCAATTTCATATTAGTTCCTAGTGAGTAGTTTGAAATTATAGCCCTAAAGCAATTAAAAAAAAAACTTTGTTTTTCACTCTAAAAAATTGACTGATTTTAAACAACCGGTTAAATCTTCAACCGAGGGTATTTTGTAGACAATAAGATATAAAGGGTAAAATTGTCCAATCTCAAAGATAAAGGGTAAATAATGTTGTAAAGCTTAATCTTATATAACATTCGACTTATTTAACTTTTATATCCACAATACATTCAAATTACTTTTATATCTAATTTAAATCGTAATGTTGAAAAGAAGTAAGGGCAGATTTGTAAAATTTTTAAGATTTTGCTGGAAAGTAAAACATATCACATTTGCAGAAACGCGCACACATTCACACTTGCAGAAACAATATTTTATACTAAAAGTCAGGTTTACATATAGAAAGTATATTGTTTTTTTTGGAAAGGGAACTTCCCTAACGAGGGTTTCCGAGCCAGCTTTCGCGCACCGACTAATCCCCCGCTGCAAACATAAAACTTTGCCTTATGCCCTGGAGTCACTGCAGGCGAACCTCCATGGCCACAAGGGCTGAGTGGTGCGAGGATTTGAACATGGGTCAATAGGTTATCCATCATATCTTCCACATGCCTTACCAAGTCACCACAACCCAAGTGGTTTAGAAAGTATATTGTATAATCACCAAAACATTATTTTATACTAAAAGTCACACACACACACACATTCACACTTACAGAAACGCATACAACCAGATACATATAAGATTAACATGTATATATTTTTTGGGTTGTTGACATTTTTACTCCTGGTTCCCTTAATGAGTGTTGGTCTCCGGTTGTTTTTGTTTTGGTTGGTCTGATTTGGTCTAATTTACTCGAATTTTTTTAATGATAGTTATAATTACATTAATACCCCTCATCTTAATTAAGGAATTGCAGTATAGGAATATTAACACAAACACACAAATTATAACAATGTGCTTTGAAAATACATTGCTATAACTAGTAAAAATCATTTTTTTCCCAAAAATTAGAAAAAAAAAACTTGTTTTTCTTATTAAGCCATTATAGTAAAGTACATTAACCAAAACACATAAATTATAGTCCCTGATCTATATAGTATATGTTGATATCATTTAGTAAAAATAACCAAATATATGCAAAAGTTAAGCAAATAGAATTAATTTTTCATTTTTAATATTAAAACGATAAATATATTAGTATGCAGTAAGACATTTTCTACCAAGAATGAAAAAGCATAAATTATTTAACCTTTATATCCACAATACATTCAAATTACTTTTATATCTAATTTAAATCGTAATGTTGAAAAGAAGTAAGGGCAAATTTGTAAAATTTTTAAGATTTTGCTGGAAAATAAAACATATCACATTTGCAGTAATGTACACACACATTCACACTTGCAGAAACAATATTTTATACTAAAAGTCAGATTTACATATAGAAAGTATATTGTATAATCACCAAAACAATATTTTATACTAAAAGTCACACACACGCACATTCAGACTTGCAAAAATGCATACAACCAAATACATATAAGATTAACATGTATATTTTTTTTGGGTTGTTGACATTTTTGCTCCTGGTTCCCTTAATGAGTGTTGGTCTCTGGTTGTTTTTGTTTTGGTTGGTCTGATTTGGTCTAATTTACTTGAGTTTTTTTTAATGATAATTATAATTACATTAATACCCCTCCTCTTAATTAAGGAATTGTAGTATAGGAATATTAACACAAACACACAAATTATAACAATGTGCTTTGAAAATACATTGCTATAACTGGTAAAAATCGATTTTTTTCCCAAAAATTAGAAAAAAAACTTGTTTTTCTTATTAAGCCATTATAGTAAAATACGTTAACCAAAACACACAAATTGTAGTAATGATTGTTGAAAGTACATTAAAACAAACACATAAATTATAATCTCTGAACTATATAGTATATGTTGATATCATTATGTAAAAATAACCAAATATATGCAAAAGTTAAGCAAATAGAATTAATTTTTCATTTTTAATATTAAAACAATAAATATATTAGTATGCAGTAAGACATTTTCTACCAAGAATGGAAAAGCATAAATAAAACCACAAATATATGAAAAAATTAATTCATAACATGCTATAACAATATAGCATAACAAACCATTTAAAAAGAAAATAATGGAAAAGTTTTAACCTTAAAAACCAGAATGCTTGAAACATCAAACCAAGAGAGTTAAAAAAGAAGCATGGCAAAAAAAAACCTTAAAATTGTTCATGAAAATTCAAAATGGACATTGTCTTCAAAATCAACACCAAATCAAATTCAGCCACTTTTTCCAACTTTATCTCCAACAACTTTTTCCTTGGACCATCTACGGACACTTTTGGAGTTTTTGAAGACGATAAGTTTTCATTAATGTCCAAATCAAAGACTTCTTCAAGATTTCGTTTCAAAACCGGTGTTGTGTTCAAAAACTTCATTGGGCTTGTTGCTGAGTTCTTGTCAACAGTGGAAGGAGTTATGTTGTCATCCGTCCCAGAAATTTCATCCTAAAGAAATTAATTTTACAGCATTGTTATTTACACCCAACAATTATTTTACAACATATTTATGTAAGCTAACATGTATGTAACCTTTAAATGCATGTTATCTTGAGATTCGAATTCGCCAGAACAAACGTCCAAAGAGTCTGTTAAATCGGTCTGCATAAGACATAAAATAACAAAAAGATTGATTTAGAAATACTATAAGGATGTGTAGTTAACAACAAAAAACAACAATTAGTAATTTAATTACCTGTGATTCTGTAAACTTTTTTTCAAGTTGTTCAATTAAATCAACATTATCACTGATTCTAGAAATACCATATTGATTGGTTTTTTTCAACACATTGAAATCTGAAATAGAAATCTTGAATGCCAATTTCAAACCTTTCAATGCATTAATATCCCCCGGATAGAAATCAATATTGTCCCCAATCTACATTGAATAATAATGTAAATATAAGGTTCGGTTAAACTGAACATATATACAATATGAAACGATCATATAATAATATTCAAACAACCTCTGTTGCTTTTTTAAACAACTCTTTGGCTGATGTCTTCAATAAATACCTTCCTTCTTTTTCAAACATTGTCAATGTAATAGTCCCGGTATTATCTTGCACACGTATAGGGATCATAAATCTAAAAAAAAAGGTACAAAATATAAAAAAGTTGGTTTTGCATTTGAATGATGAATGATGAAAATCAATACAGTCATCTGCCCCATTATCTTGCACACGTATAGGTAAGAACCTCGGTACAACAGAAGCTGTTTTTTTTGTGCAATTTTGGTTACGACATTCATAAGAAGTTGGTTTTGCATTTGAAAGATGAAAATCAATACAGTCATCTGCCCCATTATCCGGAAAGGCCCTGTAACTGCAGTTTGTACACGCGGGATAACACCATTTCTCATTCTGCAAGATTCCCTTTATAGTGCCAACTATAACGAAGTGGGTTTTCTGCATGAATGATGATTAATTATAACATTTATTATTTTTAAAAAATACAACAAATATATATAAATATACAAGTTACAAAAAGTTCAAATAAATACCGAAAGGGGTTCAAAAATCTCAGCAATAGTCTTCAACTTAGTTTTAACTATGAAATCATCTAATTCAGAAAGTTGTTTAGATTCAATGACTGAAATCGTATTCGAAGACGAATCAGGACGATCATCCCCGTCTAAACTGTAAGTTACAAAAAGAAATAACTTTTAGTTTTCTTGTAATGAACTTTTGTATAATTAAAACGTACATGGAAATGTGTTACCTTTTTTTGAAAAGATTACTGTCATCGATATCAAAGTTAATGAATAGCTTTGAAGATGTAAAGTAGGTGTTAACACTCGGACGATCTATAACAAAGATAATAATATTGAGTTTAATAATAAAAAATGATAAAGTGTGTTGATAATAAAAAAAATATACCTCTCCAAACAGTAATCTTTGCAAACTGAATTATAACGACACGTTGATTTGGTGGATTGTTATCTATGTAATCTTGCATCTTGTACGCATAATCACCCCACAAATTTACACGGACTTGCAAACCACTGAAAATTCAATTTTTTTTTTTAAAAGTCATGTTTTAACTTAATATATAATACAAACGTAAAGATATCAACAACAAACCTTGCATCTTGGATGTGAATGGTTAGTCTGTGTCTCGACCTATCGGGATTATCCTTCATCATCTCAGTAATAGCAACGACCAATCCAATGACATCTGTAAAAGTCAAAAAAATAAAGATGTAAAGAGTTGTTTGAAATTTAAAGATATAATATATAATATATATATATAGCAAATAAACATAACTAAGAGTACTTAAATTTATTGTTCATGATTAAAATAACAAATATTAACTAACCAACGGATAAATCTTCAGGATGTTGCAACGATAGTACAGTTTGATAGTCAACAAATGAAAATCCAAATATAGATCCAGAAAATTCTATACATTCTTTGACAACAGTTTGTTGGACAAATGTTAGTTTCTGATCTTGAGGAGTTATTTTGAAACTACCGGGCTTTTGTGATGCAAAACTTGGACTTATGATATAAAAAGCCGACCCATCCTTTAATATATTTTTGAATCGATAAAGAAATTTTTTCCAAACAGTAGCTTGAATCTTGGTCCCCTATAAAAAAAAGTAATATATGATGAACTATATAAGTAATTGGAATTAGATGTGTCTTTGTAAAAAATCATTAATATGTAGAGTGTAAGATACCTGTTCATCAAGTAAAATTAATTCAATGGACCAAATGTCATCCTTGTTATTGAATGACATATGTTTGCACAAGTTGATGACACGAACTTTTAGAGTCAAATCGTCCCTTAGCACATCCACATCAGCAATCAAAGTGATATTGGGAGTAGCCATTGAACTAAAAAAAACACAAAATTATATAAATTAGATGAAAAATATATGTAAATTCAAAGACCTGACTAAATAATTATGTAGAAGTTGGAAACAATTTCCTTTTGTAGAGAAATCAGCCCATCATATAATAAACAGATTGCAAACCAAGGGCAAAATGGTCCGATATTATGTAGAAGCTGCATATCGAGCCCCCCCCCCCCCTTCTTTTTTTTTTTTTGGGGGGGGGGGGGGGGGGGGGGGACTTGGGACATATTTCTGGTTTTAACTTTGCAGATCAATCCAAATTAGTTAACGGAAATAAATTGTTTTTCTGCACTTATATGTTCTGTAGAGAATAAATAAAACGTAAAATATTGTAAAATTGAAAAGCTTATTCTTTATTAAGAAAAGTTAAAAGATATAATTTCCAAATAAGATATAAAGGGTAAAATTGTCCAATCTCAGATATAAAGGGTAAATAATGTTGTAAAGCTTATTCTTATATAACATTCGACTTATTTAACCTTTATATCCACAACACATTCGAATTACTTTTATATCTAATTAAATCATAATGTTGAAAAGAATTTAGGGGTTGAAAATAACCTTTTTAATATTTATGCTTCGTCAATTTTAGGTAAATCAAGAAAAAAATCCGGAAAAAACACTTTTATGATTCATTTTTAGGTAAATCAAGAAAAAAATTCACTTTTATGACAATTTTAGTAAATATCAACAAAATCATCGTAAAAATGAATCATCGAAATGTTTTTTCGGGATTTTTTTTTGTGAATCATATTATTATTGATTCATCTAATGATTCATTTATTTTGTTCGCCAAAAAAAACAAGCCGAAAAAAAATTTCTTACCTTCCTACCAAAAAAATTTTCTTACCGGATATATATATATATATATATATATATATATATATATATATATATATATATATATATGTATGTATATATATGGGCCAAGTAATATTTAATTTTAATAACTAATTTATTAAATCATCTATCCTTTAATTTAGGCAAATTAGTTTATTTAGACCCTATTGACTCTGCCATCGACACCCATAAACTCGCATCCCTCCCGTTTCCATCCTCTCTCCTGTGAAGTTACAATTGAAGCACTGCAACCCACCGTACATCTTCAAGCTACGATTGTTGTCGTTCTTTCTCTTTCTTTCTCTCTCTCTCTCTCTCACACACACACACACACTCTTTTTCTCATTGGATTTGGTTTAAATCAAAAAAAGAGCAAAAAATGTGATTTGTTTTTTGAATCATCACCAGATTGGTGCCATAGGGATTTAGGCTTTAAGGTAGGAAATCGAGAATCGGGCATTGGTGGAGACGATGGTTGTGGGAGGAAGGGATTTAATTATCGCTATTGTCAAGATTGGGACTCAATTTGACTGTGTGCTTCATCGATACAACCGACCCTATTCTCTTAGCCATCATCGATTTCTCCCGGGTAAGTTCTCGGTTCAACAAAATTAGTATGTTGTTCGATCCCTTAATCTAAATCTGTGTTTTTGATTTTTTTTTTCAATTCAATTGTTTAGTTCTCCCTACCTGACAGACGTTCCCACTTCTTCATTGATTTGTGATATCAAAACCTACAATGGCACAAATCCTTTTCTCCCATTGCTCCAGTTAGCACAAAACCCTAAATCTATTTTTCCTGCAGTTCCTTGTCACAAATTGAAATCTATTTTCTTGTAGCAACTATGCTTATATTGAAAACTCATTCGTATTTAATATTTATGTTATTGTTGTGTATGTGAAGTTGGATTTTATTGATGACCCTGGTGCTGTTCTGGAGAACATGAAGGCAAATCACATTGGGAACAAGAGGTCACTATTTTACCAGGTGTATGCTGTTTATTATGAGAAATTGAAGAAATTTACTGATGTTGAAAAGATGTATCATTTACGAGTGCAAAAGTAAGTGACTGATATTTTTTATTTTTCAAAATGTTCATTCAATTTGAATTGTTCGTTGAAATTCTTAGCTTCATATACTTGAAGCTTTATTGTTTTTTTTTAAGTAATACGTTATATGATTGATTGGTTTCTACCTTTTGCAAGCTTAATTGATAATTGGCAATGTGATAACGAATTTGATTGTAGAATATATACTACAATATGAATAATGTGAGGTGAGGTAATTAAATATTTGAATTTTGTTATACATAATGATCAGGTGAAGTAAAACTTATGATTGAATCCCAACATAATACATATGGTAATTGAAACTTGAATTCGAATTCTATTGGAATGGAATCACGAATTCTAATTCTGTTGGAATGTAATATGAATATTTTTCTCACTGATTTATGCATGTTCTACAATTCTTGGTTATTGATTTTGGTGCAATTCATAAGTACGCATATTTTTCCAAATGTATTTAGTTTTTTATTTTTCATTTTCTAATGCATTATTGTATTATAAACTACAATTTAGTTTTGTTTTCACAAAAGTTGATGCTTGAAGAACGGAACAGAAAATTTAAAGTGATTCTAAGCAACATTATTCTTAAAGAATATATTAGTTTCTTTGTTAGATTTTGATGTTTTTTTTCCCAATTTGAAAGTTTTTTTTTTAGTTTTATTCTTTAACAATAAATGTAATTCTTAGTAATTGTTACCCGAATTCTATAAGAATTAATGTAATTTTTGTTATTATTCTTCAACTCATCGGTTCAAATATTTGTTATTTTTCAAAATGTTCATTTAATCAGAATATATATTCTGTCTGAATATCATTCTAACAGAATCAGATCGTTTATGATTAAAAAATATGTTCGATTTGAATTAACTAAAAAACAATAATAATTTAAAAAATATAAAAATCAATTATCCATTGAAATCCGATAATTTCCATTTTTATATATAATTTAATTTGGGAAAAATGCTTGGACCACAAAGGATCCTTACATCCACACAATAGTTACAATCCACATTATAACATAACCCTATATATATATATATATATATATATATATATATATATATATATATATATATATATATATGTTCCGTTGACATTAAAAGTAAAATAGAGATCTTGAGATTCAACCTCAACCACGTATTTCACATCTACCGCTCTAACCTTCCGGCGTACCGGCCCGGCAAGCCTGGTATAATTGATTATACAGCACCGCCTATTCCTTTCTCCAACACCACCATCCCCACTACTATAACCGCTACCGCCACCACCTTTACCACCATATCTGACACCAGCCGACCCACCACTTTCACCTCCATTACTTATACCACCACCACATTTGTCGTCACCATCTTTTCTGCCACCAATTGTCATAATCATTTATGATTACTCAATCTATGAATAGAAATATATGTATAATCATTTATGATTAGGGATATACATATGAACATGTATAATCTTATATGATTATACCTCTCTGCCATATAATCATTTATCGGTACGCTGGAGTATTAGAGCGGCAATTGAGAAGTATATGACTAAGGTTGAATCTTAAGATTTCTACTTTTTTTAATCTCAAGTGAACCGTCCCTATATATATATATATATATATATATATATATATATATATATATATATATATATATATATATATATTTCCGGCTACATTACATATAATAGGAATCATGACGAAAATCGATAGTTTGATGTTTCACGATTAATAAATCTGAAAATGTCTAAATTTTCAACTTTTAAAAATATTGTTACTAAAAATATTTCAAATATGAAATTAAATATTAGGCTATAGCCTGAGTCCAAAATATGCTTTCAGAATTTCCATTTGAGGTGTGCATGTCCCTCAATGATTAGAAGTACTTTTAAGAAAATCGGTAATATACTAGTTTTGGGTTCTTAAAACGGTTTTATCTTTTGCATACGAACTCCTTTTTGGACGTTGTTTATATTTTCAGAATAAGGGAAACACTTACTACGAGACTAGAGTGGTCGGGTGTGGGTACCGGTGACTGGAGGAGTGAAACAGAGGATATTAGAGGAGGCTTGAGACTGAGTTATTGGTGGCCATGCATGAAGCGGGAGATCACTTGGTTCATAGAGCGGTGCTTGACCTATAGGAAGTTCAAGGCCAAGCATCAGTGGCCTCATGGCAAGGTACAACCACTACCTATTCCCATGCGGAAATGGGAAGAGATCACTATGGACTTCATCACGAAGTTACCTAGGACGGCGAGAGATGTGGACACCATATAAGTGATCGTGGACAGACTGACGAAGAGTGCTCACTTCATTCCGATTTCCAAGAGTATATCCACGGAAAAGTTAGCGAATATTTATGTAAGAGAGGTAGTAGCTAGGAACAGGGTGCCAGTATCGGTAGTCTCTGACCGGGATGTCCGGTTTACATCCAGATTCTAGAAGAAGTTCCACGAGGAACTGGGCACTCAAGTACTTTTTAGCACGACGTACCACCCCCAAACTAATGTCCAAAGCGAGAGGACGACCCAGAAACTGGAGGACATGCTTCGAGCATGTGTGTTCGATTTTGGAGGTATTTAGGGCAGGCACCTCCTACTGACAGAGTTTTCATACAATAATAGTTATCATATCGACAGAGCTCCATTCGAGATGATATATGTGTTGGATTAGTGTCTAAGTCCATAACTATTTTGGTATGTACTTGACCCGATGGTGCATGGTCCTTTTGGGTTGCCTTCACCAAAGCAACTTGATAGGATGAATTATGGAGAGTAAGGATTAAATATGATTTATTAATGTATTATGAGAATAATATATTAAAGGAGAAATCATATTGTTTAATTAATATTAGTCAATAATTAATTGGTAATTAGTTTTGTGACTAAAAGAGATTAATTAAACTTAAGGGACTGGAACTGTAATTATAAGATAATTGCAATTTGGGCCATGGATTGCCTTATATTAAGGGATGAACGAATTCTAATGGGAAACCCACAAGGAAATCGTCCATGGGCTTAATTTAAAGAGTCTATGGGTTGCTTAGGGATTAAGCATCCAAATTAGGGTTTCCTTGTTAGATAACCCT